TGTTAGGGATCTAAAATTGCTACCTCTCTCTGTAGTACCTGCAAACTGACTTTATTTCCTCTTAACTGGTACTTCTGTTGGGCATTCCTAAGATACTGGGAGGCAAGTTTTAAATACTGAAGATCAATTTCTTTTAACAAATGTTTTCCAGTAGGAAAAACATTATCCAAATACTCTTGTTGTAGACCTTGATACAAGAAATCCTGTTTGAAGTGTGAATAATAGTGTCATCTTCCTTACAGATAATTTGGGGAAGGGCAGAAGTGGGGGGATGGCATGTACATTAAGGAACTGTATCTGTTGGATCAATAGGCAATCTGTCCAGCTGTCTCTTGCAGAATGAATTACTGGGTAAATGGTACCAGAAATGGTTTTTTGGGGAGAGACGATATGTAATGATATGTTAGGTGAAGCTTCTAGAATGGTTTTCGCCTCCATTTCTGTGTCTACCACAAAAGATCCTTAGAAGAAATGTTTCAATGTTAGGAAACAATGGACATTTCTGACACCTTATTGTTGAGCTATTCGAAAAAGGAGCGTAAACTGAACCACTTCATAAAGCTTTCTATTTCTGTCTGGTTTCTTCTGTTTGTTTTCTTGTTCCTATTTTGTACAAGAGATACAAGGGACCATGTTTCTTTTAAACTCTTGTATTCTGTTTCTTCCTTAAGTTTGTCTTTGCTTCAGAAACGATTCCACTCTGTGCCGGCACAGTTTCAACACATCACAATAGGAAACTCACTTGTATTTTTTTCCCCAGTAAGTGTGAACAACAGTTAACTCCCTTCGATTCTAAGTACATAGTGTGCACTGCTGAATGTATCTAGACAAAGGTCCTGGGAAGAACTTGTTTAACAACTCCACCAACTTCAAGATTTAGTAATTTAGTCGTGTTTTAAAAGTTGTAAAATGGAAGCAATGGCCCTGATTTACAAGATCTGAGCAGAATTGTTAGTGACTGCGGTTCCCAAAAATCTTTAATTCGTTTGTTTATTGTTTATTCATTCAGTTGCTTCTGACTCTTCGTGACCTCCTGGATCAGCCCATGTCAGAGCTCCCTGTCGGCCGTCACCACCCACAGCTCCTTCAGAGTCAAGCCAGTCACTTCAAAGATATCATCCATCTATCTTGCCCTTGGTCGGCCCCTCTTCCTTTTTCCTTCCATTTTCTCAAGTGTCATTGTCTTCTCCAAGCTTTCCTGTCTTCTCATGATGTGGCCAAAGTACTTCATCTTTGTCTCTAATATCCTTCCCTCCAATGAGCAGTCGGGCTTTATTTCCTGAAGTATGGACTGGTTGAATCTTCTGGTGGTCCAAGGCACTCTCAGAATTTTCCTCCAACAGCACAGTTCAACAGCATCTATTCTCTTTCACTCAGTCTTTCTTATGGTCCAACTCTCACATCCATAGGTTACTACAGGGAATACCATTGCTTTAACTATGCAGATCTTCGTTGCCAATGTGATGTCTCTACTCTTCACTATTTTATCGAGATTGGTCATTGCTCTCCTCCCAAGAAGGAAAGGCCTTCTGATTTCCTGGCTGCAGTCTTCATCTGCAGTAATCTTTACACCTGGAAATACAAAGTCTGTCACTGCCTCCACTATTTGCCAGTTATCAATCAGTCCGGTTGCCAGAAACTTGTTTTTTTTTTAAAAAAAGTTTAACTGTAACCCAGCCTTTGCACTTTCTTCTTTCACCTTGGTGAGAAGGCTCCTCAGCTCCTCCTTGCTTTTGACCATCAAAGTGGTATCATCTGCACATCTAAGGTTGTTAATGTTTCTTCCAGCAATTTTAACCTCAGCCTTGCATTCGTCAAGCCCTGCACATCGCATGATGTGTTCTGTATACAGTTGAATTCTGTATACAGTTGAATTCTGTATACAGTTGAATAGGTTGGTATGCCGTACACCTTTCCCAATCTTGAACAAGTCTGTTTTTCCATGGTCAGTTCTTACTGTTGCTACTTGGTCATTATACAGATTCTTCAGGAGACAGACATGGACTTGGTATGCTCATACCACCAAGAACTTGCCACAATTTATTATGATCTACACAGTCAAAGGCTTTAGAATAATCAATAAAACAGAAATAGATGTGTTTTTTTTCTGAAACTCCCTGCCTTTCTGCATTATCCATGGATATTGGCAATTTGGTTTCTCGTTCCTTTGCCTTTTCTAAACCCAGCTTGTACAACCCTTCCCTATGCTACCCAGAGCACTCTCTCTCTCTCTTTCTGTGTGTGTTTGTGACCATGACCAACAGAAAATACTGTGTTTTCTGATGGTCTTTGGTGACCCCTCTGACACTCCCTTGTGACTCTTCCTCCAGGGTACCAAACCCCCAGGTTGAGAAACGCTAAGGTGACACTGAGATATTTAGGATGGAAACAGTGTTCAAGCTCTTGGCCTTCCCAGGTAACTTTCAATTCAAAAGCATTGCTTTTAAATCTTGTTCATAACTTGGGGACAGCATATATTCCGGCGTGTCCTCTTCGGGGTTGGTTCTGAATATTCAGCATGACTGGGAAAACTTGGTTTCTTTCAAATAATAAGAAGCACGGTGACTCAAGATTAAAAGCCCAGAGTGATATATCAAAAACTTGATAAGGAATAAACTAATCTATATAGAAACAACTTTTTTTTCCAGAAGGGAAGATAGCCCGTGCCCTGGAGCCACTTGGAACTTTTTTCATACTTTTTTTTTTGCTTAAAGTTAGTCTTTCCTGTGTGTGTTATTTTAAAATTTTGTACCATGAACTATAAAACATCTTCCCTTCTAACATCCATTTTTTTCCACCAAAAAATATAGAAAATCTGCATTGAGGATCTTTTGCTTTGAAAGGAAAAAAAGTGCTTTAAGTGGAAGTCTTTATCCTTCAACTAATGTCTGCCAATGTGAGCCTTTTTACTGTTGTAAGGAGCATTTTCCTTCTGTCCTCAAGCTGTTTTGCTGCTTATTATCATGTTTAACATCCCCGCTGCCTGGCAGGATGGAGATTAGAAGCTCTTAATATTCGTTTATAGTGAGAAGTATTGCCAGATTTATATTTCTTTTTTTTTTCTTTTTCTGTGAGCAAAGGCTACAGTACAGAGATATAATGCATTAGCAGGAAAGTTTGGTGTGATCTACCTTAAGCTCCTCTCTTCATCCTTTTATGATTTGTTTTAAAGTAATCTGCTGGTCTCAGCAGTTATCCCCTTAATAACAGAGCTGAAAAACCTACTATGGAAAAAAGACTCTGCATTTATGTTGAGAAGGAACCAAACTATTTAATGATACTACTTCTCTCTCTCTATTTATTTATGGCATTTTGATCCCATCCTCAGCTGCAAAGGCTCTCAAGAGTGCTTAAATATAGGCCATTCTCTTGCAGGAGCAAATGAAAGCTGTGCAAGGTGATATAGCAAGATGCTGTAGGCCTTCCAGTGAACTGCTGTTTATGGTGGCTCTATCTGGGGGGATTTGTGGCAGAGTTGATTCAGAGCTACTTTATCATTGCTTTTCACTGAAGCTGAGACAATGTTATGTGGCGTAATGCAAAAATAAACCATGCATAGTTCACATTTGATCAGCCCACACATTGCCTTACCAGAGAAAGAAAATTTGCTACACAGATGAACACTAAAGAACAAGTAATTTACTCTTCATAGTACAGAACAACATATGTACAATGTGGACAGTTGCATCAACTCACATAATATCCTTGTATGAGATATTTAAAATTGTCTTTCTTTGTTCATGTGGATAAGCTTCTCCAGTAACCCAAGAAGCAAGTGCACACTCCAAACTCTGTCTCTCTCTGCTTCACTCTTTCTTCACTGTGTTTCTCTGAGCATTTGTATAGCTCAATTCTGAACAAAAGTGTAACAGTAACCAAAAGTCCCAGGCTCAGCCATCTCCCCACATGAAGCCAGACTAATGAGTGTCATGGTTTGTGGTTGAATTAATTTGTTAGTGGGTTTATTCCATGTCTTCTTGGAAGGTGCAGGATAAACCCACTACTACTACTACAGTCCAGACAGTATTCCCATGGTTTTCGAGGCTAAATTAGCCTGGAAAACTGTGGGAGTATCAACCCCCTCCCCCCAAAAAACCCCCAAAGCAGTGTAAAAGAAACAAAACAAAAGAACTTACCCGGCCTCCATTAGAGGGCTGCTGGAGCTCTCCTGGTCCATACAAATGATGCGCTAGGAGAGCTTCGGCAGCCCTCTAATGAAAGCCAGGTAAGTTCTTTTCTTTTTTTACACTGCTTTGGGGGTCTTTTGGGGAGGGGGTTAGAGTGTCCAGGTGTTTTCCAAGAAAGTTCTGGGAGAACATCTAGACATGGACCCCAGAAGACATGTGCTTTCTAGGGTGTGTGTAGATAGGGGCCCAGAAACATTTGTATTTCATAAACGCAAATGCTCCTGGGATAATGGGCTGTGTGGAAGTGCCCTCATTAGGCCATGGGGCCCTTTGCAACTTTATTTCTGTATTTCCATTAACATCCTTGGAATCTGATGAGATTACCCATTGGTTACTATGTAGGAGACAGAATAACAAGGACCAATGTGACGGAGAAAAGATGATAACTGAAACAGGGTGGGACTCACATTAGAAGTAAGACACCATTTCTCAGTGATGGTTGTGCAGTCCAGTGCTTGTAATCCAAAGGTCTCTAAAGAGCTACATGATTCCCCTCTCCTGCATTAAATATTGTCTGGGTATGACACTAATGAAAACTATTATTTCCTCCTCCTCCCTTTGTAACAATCTAGGACACTATATGTACTGATGGGCACTATGTGCTCTGAAAGTGTGGCTTCTTCTTTCATTTCAGTGAGAGGTAAAGGTCAACCTTCATAAAGCCATAAGTGATCAATTCATCAATAGATCTCAATGTACAAGCTGTGTCTATGACTTGGAGTGGCTGTAAATAAAGCAGTGTTGTACATATTGGATGTTCGTACAGTCTTTTCTTCTTAATTAATGGTTATTTCTGTGTTATGTTTTTAACAGACTGGAAGGAAAGAAAAAGGAGACCCACTGAATATAGCAATTGACAAGATGACCAAGAAAACAAGAGATCTACGAAGACAGGTATGAGATTTTGGTGATGCATTATCAACTGCAGAGCTAGTATTAATCTGGTGGAAAGTGTGGTGGAAATGTTCTGCATGTGAAAGCAAAGGATACTGTAATGAGAACGAAGGTGTCCTAAAGAAGTGATAGCCCCCAAATGTGATCTGCTTGTGATCCTTTAGATATATTATTTTCCTTAAAATTTTAATATGCTCTTTGTCAGAGACAAAACTTTCAACATAGTTCATAGAACCATGGCAATGTGCAAGAAGAATCAAATTTTGTTAGGAAATGGAGTACAAGCAAACAGAGTTGTTGTTGTAGATCTTGAGGAAAGTGTCAGAGTGTAAAAGGGGAAGGAGAAAGCTTCCTCCTTTTCCTTTTAACATGGATGGCTGATGATTGCCACTGCCAGGTAGGCAATGGAAGAGTTAGTAAAGAAATTGAAGGTTTGGGAAACAGATTAATGGACCATTGGATTGATAATGGGGAAGAACATGATAAGGTAAGTAGGATGGAGCGAGAGAAGTTTCAGTTTAACGGAAATAGAGTTAGATCAAGTTCAGATTAATTCAGATATATGCCAAGCTATTTTGAAATATGTATTTTCCTGAAGTAAATAGCTTCCCCATCCCCTCATAATCTCTCTCTTCGGCCCCCTCCACACGGCTGTATAAAATCCACATTGGACAGGATTATATGGGAATGTGGACTCAGATGACCCTGTTCAAAGCAGATACTGTGGATTATCTGCCTTGATATTCTGGGTTATATGGCTGTGTGGAAGGGCCAAACGTCAATACGGTGTGAGCTGTGACCAAAGGCTTGCTCTCCTCTCCTTCGCTTCAGTGCTGGTGGTCTTTGGTTCTTCAAGCATGCTGACATTTATCCTCCTGTCTTTCCAAGAGATTTGCAGGATTTTTTGGAGGCAATGTCTACAGATGTCACACCCAACTCCTGGAACAATTCTAGTATTTCCAATGGTCCCTAAATCACCCTTTTTTAGAACAGCGGTTCTCAACCTGTGGGTCCCAGGGTGTTTTGGCCTACAACTTCGATGAGGAGACAGCAAAGCCTAGAGAAGACAATTATGCTGGGGAAAGTGGAAGGCAAAAGGAAGAGGGGCTGACCAAGGGCAAGATGGATGGATGGCATCCTTGAAGTGACTGGACTGACCTTGAAGGAGCTGGGGGTGGTGACGGCCGACAGGGAGCTCTGGCGTGGGCTGGTCCATGAGGTCACAAAGAGTCGGAGACAACTGAACGAATGAACAACAACAAGGATTTTTGGGAGTTGAAGGCCAAAATATCTGGGGACCCATAGACTGAGAACCATTGTTTTAGAACATTCAGAATGTTTAAAATCAATGACAGAAACTAAACTCCAGCCCCTTTTGAAGTACTTCTTTCTTCCCCTTTCTCCAGTTTCATAGGAGTAATCTTTTTCAAGCATTCCTCGGGCGTGTTGAACATTTACACCCTCATGCATCCTTTCTGAAATTCACTTAGTGAAAGAAGTAAAGAATGGGACCAGACTGTGAACAAAGTGTTTGGGAGTAAGCAGGCATGTCGGAGCAGTTGCATATTGTGCCGGGTGTTACTTCTTCAACTGCATGGAAAAGGCAGGGAGTTTGAAGCCTGAATAGAAGTCGTGCCAACTGGCAGGATTCTTTGCTCTTCTCATGCAGACAAGCTTGTCAAACAGAACAAAACAAAGGTCTCTTTTATAGAAGGCTGTGGTAGGCATGAACATTCATAGCAGCATGGTATTCCCTGCTGCCAGTTGTTTGGTTTTCATGTTTGTTTGTTTTAATGTTTTGGAAAAAAATTCATTGTAAGTAATTCCTAACTTGTACCACTTGTCTTATGGTAGCAGGGCAGACATGATGAAAACTACTGGCTTGTGGGACAAAATGAGTTATTTTTCTGTTTACCTTGGCATTGCCTCACAAATTGTGGCCTTAGACACAGCAGGATAAACCATTCAAAAGTCCTCCTCTGCATCTCAGTGAGGGCACACCCTCGTAATCATGAAAGTAATTAGTTTAAAATGTCCACTTTCTTCAAAACGATTGAAGTGGCTTCTTGCTCAATCACAGCTCTGGTGTAATTCTGGGATGCCTTCATTGCTGCAGATAAATTAATTACAAATAAATGATTATTTGTAGATAATTACTTCTGTTCTCCATGCTCCTGACTTTGCAGTAATCATGATTCTTTAGAGATTATTATTTGAAACATTTATATTCCACCCTTCTCACCCTGAAGGGGACTCAGGGCAGAGAACGTTGGCGCAGTGGGTTAAACCCCTGTGCCAGCAGGACTGAAGACCGACAGGTTGCAGGTTCAAATTTGGGGAGAGGCGGATGAGCTCCCTCTATCAGCTCCAGCTCTTCATGTGGGGACATGAGAGAAGCCTCCCACAAGGATGATAAAAACATCAAATCATCTAGGCGTCCCCTGGGCAACGTCCTTGCAGACCGCCAGTTCTCTCACACCAGAAGCGACTTGCTCCTGACACGACAAAAAAAAAGTGCAGAGCACAACATGTATATGGCAAGCATTCCATGCCAGGACATAAAATAACTATAAATATATGCAAACACTAAAATCAGTTATATTTACTTTAAAATCAGTTGTTTTAAAACCATCTCAAAACACCATGCTGACTCCGGTCAGTGTAGTGGGTTTCCTATTATTGCCTTCTTGCACTGTCCCAAAGGCTTGGTCCCACAGCTAGGTTTTTACCATCTTTTGAAGGACAGGAAGGGGGGGGGGGTCTAATCTAATCTCACCAGGAAGGGAGTTCCATTGCTGGGGGGCAATCACTGAGAAGGCCCTGTCTTTCGTCCCAACCAAACGTGCCTGTGACAGTGATGGGACTGAAAGCAGGGCTCCCCAGAAGATCTTAGTCTTTATGGTGGTTCGTAAAGGGAGATGCATTCAGACAGGTAGTCTGGGACAAGGCCATTTAGGGCTTTATAGGCCAAAGCCAGCACTTTGAATTGTGCCTGGTCGCAAACAGGCAGCCAGTGGAGCTGACGTAAAATGGGTGTTGTGTGCTCCCTGTATGCTGCCCCAGTTATTAACCTGGTTGCCTCTCATTGGACTATCTGAAGCTTCCGAACAGTCTTTAAAGGCAACCCCACATAGAGACAAGACAGAGGTCCTCCTGGTCAGTTGCAAGGCCAAACAAGGCATAGGGTTACAGCCTGTGCTGGATGGGGTTACACTCACCTTGAAGGTGTGCAGCTTGGGAATCCTCCTGGACTCATCACTGAGCCTGGAGCCTCAGGTTGCGGCAGTGGCTAGGAGGGCTTTTGCACAATTAAAACTTGTGCACCAGTTGCACCCGTAACTTGGGAAGTCAGACCTTGTCCATGGTGGACCACACTCTCGTTACATCCAGGATTGATTACTGCAACACACTCTACCTGAGGTTGTCTTTATTGTGAGATTATTGTGACAGACGAGGACAGAAATAGTACTGGAATCTAGCAGGGGTCGAATTATTTGACCCTCCAGAGATTGATGCACTGCATCTTTCAGCAGCCATAGCCAGTTTAAATAATGATTAAAAATGCTGGGAGTTACAGTCCAACAACAACCTTGGACTACAGGATCCACCACCCATTGCATTCCCATCACCGTCACTACTAGCCCGCTGCTTTAAATCCTAACCATGGAAGAAGCAAAAATTTACCCAAGAATCCGAACCTCAGGGTGGTGAAAGGAAAGTAAAATTATTCTCCGATCCCCCTTCATCTACATTGCCTTACATCAAAATTTTGAGGATGGTATTTTGGTATCTTCTCTTTTCTCTGTGCTTCAAGAAAGTAATGACCAGTGAATTTAATCTTTTTTTTTTCTCCCTTAGGAAAAGAAAGTATTATCCCAGTGCACCAGACCCCTGTGCTTTAGATCTGGCTTTATGCAACCACTAACAACAAGCTCTTTCCCTCCATCTGCCAATCTCCTCAGTGACCTTTATGAAATTAATTATATTTTATCTGGTTCCTAGCAAAGTGATATTATGAAACAAACGATGAATTGCCATCAGAAAGATGGAATCTGTGTCCTGTATAGTAGTTTCAGTGTTGAAGCTGAGGATCACAAGCACATGGAGTAATGAGTTCTTGGGGCTATATTGTCAATATCTGTTTTGCTCAAATTTAATCAGAAGCACATGCAGCAGTGCATGTCTTTTATTTCTAAGGACTGTTACCTAGGAAGGGTAAGAGCTAACGCATACATCCAAGTAGTGATCCCAAGACTCGGGCCAGTTGAATCAATGGGAATCTGAAAAATCTAGCATTTGTGCAAGAGCCATTGGTTCAGTGGGTCTCCTCTGCTTGGAACCGAGAACTGAATTTAATCCAAAGGGCTTGCTCATACTTCAATTACAATTTTTTGGTAAACTTTAAGTACCGACTTCAGACAAGAAACTGAAAGATACTCAAAACAGAAAGGAACCTTCAAGGGCCCTTTCACACTACCCACTTTTAACACTCAGATTCTACTTTTACAGTCATGACTACATCTGAAGGAATCGTGGAATAAGCACTGTGAGGAGAGACATTTTGAACTCTCACTACACCAAACTCACCCAACTATAAAGTCACTTCTGGTCTGAGAGAATTGGCTGTCTGCAAAGGCATTGCCCAGGGGATGCCCAGGTGTTTTGATGTTTTACCTTCCTTGTGGGAGGCTTCTCTCATGTCCCTGCATGGGGAGTTGGAGCTGACAGAGGGAGCTCATCTGTGCTTTCCCCGGATTGAAACCTCCAACCTGTCAGTCGTCAGTCCTGCTGGCACAAGGGTTTAACCCATTCCAGCAATCGGGCCTCCCATGCAGCCACCCTTGTTTTAGATTTCTCATCACACAAGTGAGTGCATACAGTATTTGCATGCTTACAGTATTTGAGAAGAAAGGGAGCTGTTACAACAGTTTACAGTGCTTCTCGGGGCCCTTCCACACCATAATATCAAGGCAGAAAATCCCACAATATATGCTTTGAAC